TGTCCAGTCTCTTCTTAAAAACTTCCAGTGTTGGAGCATTCACCGCTTCTGGAGGCAGGTTGTTCCACTGGTTAATTGTTCTCACTGTCAGGAAGTTTCTCCTTAGTTCTAGATTGCTTCTCTCCTTGATTAGTTTCCACCCGTTGCTTCTTGTCCTGCCTTCAGGGGCTTTGGAGAATAGCTTGACTCCCTCTTCTTTGGGGCATCCCCTGAGATACTGGAACACTGCTATCATGTCCCCCCTCGTCCTTCTCTTTGTTAAACTAGACATACCCAATTCCAGCAACCGTTCCTTATATGTTTTAGCCTCCAGTCCCCTAATCATCTTTGTTGCTCTTCTCTGTACTCTTTCTAGAGTCTCAGCATCTTTTTTACATCGCGGTGACCAAAACTGGATGCAGTATTCCAAGGGTGGCCTTACCAAGGCCTTGTAAAGTGGTATTAATACTTCAAGTGAATCCTTGAACTTCTGCTTCACTTTGATTGCATTTTTGTTTTGCTCTTTGAATTCAGTTTATCAGAGGAACTCTGTGTCTTCACTCAGGCTGAGTAAAATTGATCGCCTGTCCTTGTGAATCAACAGAGTGTCTGGTTATTTTGAGATTTGCTGAAAGCCAGTAGACCAGTCCATAGAATGGGGACCACTCTATTATTTTAACTAATTATGTGGATAATCTTAATAAGGAGTGCGGTGGCCCAGAGTAGAGCTCTTGCCTCACAATCAGGAGACTGTGAGTTCGATCCTAGGTAGTGGCAGCTATTTCTCTCTCTGGATGCAATGAGTAATTGTCTGCTGTGAACTCTGGATAGGCATCAAGAAGGGCATCCGACTGGTAAACTCTCAGCTCCACCCTGTTGCTCCAATCCCACCCGGATGCAAGAGATTAAAAGGTCGTTAAAAGAAAAAAAACATGTGGATGATCTTAATAAGTGAAAGAAATGGATTGAAGATAACAAATGAAACTGAATAGATAAATCATCAATTGCTTCATTAGGGAGAAAGAAGTCAAATGCATCAGGACTGGATTGGGGAAGCTGCCTTGACAAAAAAAAACATGTTCAGTATAGTCCAGTGCACCCATCTGAAATTGTCTATTTCTGGGTACATTTGAATAAAGATTTAGAGAAACCTGGAATTTGTGCAGACAAAGGCAATGAGGATAATTAAGAGACCAGAAAACAAGAGTTAAAGGGAGAGACAGAGAAAAATGAGTGGATTTAGACTTTGAGAAAAGATGATAAATAAGGTGTGTGAAAGCTCTTCTTAAGTACCCAAAAGTGTGGTGATAAGATTCTTTCTTGGATCCTGGTAGAGTTCAATGCACATAATAAATGGTCTTAAGTTACAAGAAGACAGCAACTAACAATGGAACTAATAGTTGAAGGAGGTAAGGAATACTCCTTTAGTGATTGTGTTCAAGCAGAAGTTGGATGGGCATCTAACAGAACTCAGAACGTAAAATCATAGGACTGGAAGGGATTTGGGAAGACTTCTAATCCAACTCCTATTCAAGGCAGGAGACCTTATACCATCCCAGTTAAATTGTTGTTTACTCTATTCCTGAAAATCTCCAGTGATGGAGGACCCCCAACCTCAGGAAACAAGCTATTCCATTGATTAATTGTTCTCACTGTCAAAAAATTTCTCCTTACTTCCTCCCATTATTTCTTTTCCTGCCCTCAAATGCTTTGGAAAATAAGTTGACACCCTCTTCTCTGTGACAGCCCCTCAAGTACTGGAAGACTATTATCATATTACTTTTAATCCTTTTCTTTGATAGGCTAGACCAGTGATGGCGAACCTTTTAGAGACTGAGTGCCCAAACTGCAACCCCAAACCCACTTATGTATCATTGGGTGCCGGGTGGGCGTGGCCCATTGGGTGGGTGTGGCCCATTGGGTGAGCATGGCTTCGGTGGTAACGGCAACTGGGTGGGACTAAAAAGTTCAATCAATCAATTTCAACTTTGCGAGATCTTTTTTTCCCGCGAGAAGTTAAAATTGATTGATTGATTGAACCTTTTTTTTTTTTTTTGCACACGGCAGTGGAGGCCTAAAGCGAAAAGGTTTTATAAAACCCAGCTAAAGGCCTAGGACTGGGGCGACAGTGCGCATGCCCACAGAGAGGGCTCTGCGTGCCATGCGTGCCATAGGTTCGCCACCATGGGGCTAGACATACCTTGCTCCTTCAACCATTCCTCACTTGATTTAGCTTCCAGAACTCTTTGTTGCTCTTCCCTGCATACTGTCTAGGCTCTCAGCCTCCTTTTTGTATCCTGATGACCAGAATTATAAAAATATTCCAAGTCTGGTCTCACTAGTGCAGTATAAAGTAGTATCGTCACCTCACGATATCAGAAATTTTTTGTCATTTTGATTCCAGCAGTGAGCAGGAAGTTAGGCTTGGAAATCTCAACTGTCCATTCTAATTCTATGATTCTAGCTATAATTGAAGATGACTTTATTCTTCCATGCTTTTAATGGAGTACTTTCTTACTATGTCTGGATAATTTGATATTTTTTTTCGAAAAAAATAATGCTTTTGAAATCTGCTTTCTAGCCTTACTTTGGGAAATCTTATATTATTTTGAAAATCTGTTTATACTGAAAGGGTAATAGGTTTTTTTTTTAAAAAATCCCTGAGAATATGAATAACCTATTATTTTTAAAAGTATTGTTAACTTGAGGCCATGTCGGTGAACAGCCCCTGGCTTAGAGTCTGCATAAATTTTCCAAAAAGGCTGAGCTTCCATAATTTGGGGGAGATGGACAGCCAACATGCCCTCAGAAAGGGCCCCAAATTTGAACTAACCCTTTTTATTCCTTGAATAGGATTCCTGCTTAGGTTACCATTTCATTCCCCCTTCTCTGAAAATACATTCCACTGAATGTAGTGAGACCGATTTAGGATTCGCATGTAAAATTGTCGCTACTTATTTTATTGTCTCTTTGTCTGACACGTATCTCTCCTTTCAATCTAGGCACTCAAAGTGGCCTACACAGTATTTTCCTCCTCCTTTTTTCTGTCTAATGTGGGTCTCCCATATCTAGCTCCACCCCTTAACCATTACACTACATTGGCTCTCTGTATTTCAACTTAATAGCAATCTCAACTTGGTCAAGAGGTTTGTGGACAACTGCTGCTTCAGGCTGTCTAGCACAGGATCTCTATTTGTGAGCAAACTCGTTAATTTTAGGATTATTATAGTACTGTCAAGTCTTATTTCACGGTGTAACAAACAGATCGCCAGAAACAAATACTAGAAGAAGAATCCGATCTCCGTAATTTGTTGGTACAATGGCCCAGCTAGACCAGTCTTTCTCAATCTGGCCACTTTCCAGCTGAGTTTGGTTGTTTTCCTGCAGATGTTTCATTGCCAACATAAAAGAATATTTTGTAGCTCAGGGTTGAACTGTGTGTCCTTGGTGCTCTCTGAGCTTGGTTGTCTTCTTGCAGATGTTTCGTTATCCAACTCGGTGACATCACCAGTGCCATGATGCAGAGTTAGGTAATGAAACCACAGTTCAACCCTGAGCTACACATACTCTTTTGTAGGGGTAGACTTCAACTGTCAGAACCGGATACACCAAGGAGAAAAGGCTACGTTCTGCACATGTGGAGGGTGCCCAAGTTGAGGAAGACTCCACTGGACCATCCGCAAAGCTGGCAGAGGCCAGATTATCTGAGGAATCACAGATCACAAGGAAGGAACATTTCGTCTCACGTTATACCCACTGTGTATTCATTGAGCCATAGCATTTGGAGCAGTTTCGCCTCTGTCACTCCTCTTGGCTAGAGGAAACGTGATGCAATAAGGTTAAAAGTAAATAAAACAATGAAAACAATGGGGGGACATATGCAGATGAGGAAACAAAAAAGAAAGAAGAGCAAATTCATTGTTAGCAGCGAGGATTTCAGATCATGAGTTTTACAGCAGTAATGCTACTCAGAGAGACAGAGAAGGCCTGAAACTCCAGCGTGGTTCCTTTGCTCTTTGTGAATACGTCTAGATCAGGGGTCCCCAACTGGACCGGGCCGTGGTATGCCAGCAACCAGTCCGCACAAACAAGCAAAGCCCCATCCGTGGGATGCAGGCAACACACAAAACCACGCACCCTCCGGTCCACGGAAAAACCTTTCTCCGTGGAACCGGTCCCTGGTACCCCAAAGTTTGGGGACCTCTGATCTAGATCTCCTCAGCCACAGAGACTGAAAAAAAATATTGCACTGGCCTTTGGAAGGTGAGATAGATATAGGTAGTCCTCAACTTACGACCACAATGGAGCCCCAAGTTTACAGTACGTTGCTGAGCAAGACGGTCATTAAAGCGAATTTTGCCCTGTTTTACAACCTTTCTTGTTAAATCAATCATTGACTTTGCTTGTCGGAAGGCTGCAAAAGGGGATCGCGTCATCCTGGTACACTGCCACCGTCGTAAATCCAAGTCAATTGCCAAGGGTCCAAATTTTGATCACGTGACCATGGGGATGCTGCAACGGTTGTAAGTGTGAAAAACAGCCGTAAGTCACTTTTTTCAACGATCTTGTAGCTTTGAACGGTCACTAAGTGGATTGTTGTAAGTCGAGGACTACCTGTACCTTAAAATCAATCAATCAATCAAAACAGAAAGGAATGAAAAAAAAATCCCAGTGGAGTCCTCCCAAAGAAGAGAATGGGGGGAAAAAGGGTTGAGGTTCTAGATTCCTCACCACCACTTCTGAAAAACACTAGAAGTGCACAAATCAGAGTACGATTTTGTTTCATTTTTGAGATCCAGGTTTTTTTTTAATCATTACAAACACTGCAAAAGAGGGGGACGAAAAAGAAAGGGGTTTGAAAGAATTGCTCCACGTTTTCTCCTCCCTTACTGGCACCCAAAACGTGCCCTTGATTAAGGCTCCGACACAAATGGAATATAACCTGTGTTGATGTTTTTGGACTATGATCTGGAACCTTGGGCCTACACACCTTGATCAGTAACCACGCTGGTTTCCGGCAGTCACCAATTCATTTCAGTACAGGTGGGCAACTTGCTTTCTGACATGCCAAAAGCTCATTCAAAAATTTGTCTTGATTTTCCAGAACCCCAAGCATCGAATTATAACGATAAGGATAGATGGCACACCCATTACATTGCAAATACAGTGCTTACGGCGGGAACGTCCCATTCATCTGTAAATCTGGAACATCCCGTTCATCTGTAAATACTCCAGTTTTGCAAATGATGGATATATACATGTAAATTGGCCTTAAATCACAGAGTGGAGCTGTCTTTGCATGACACACTAAACCAGGGGTAGGCAACCTTGGCTCTTTTATGACTCGTGGACTTCAACTCCCAGAATTCCTGAGCCAGCCATGCTGAGGGGAAAGGAAGAGGTTTCCATGTTTAGCCATGCTGGCCTAGGAATTCTGGGAGTTGAAGTCCACGAGTCATAAAAGAGCCAAGGTTGCCTACCCCTGCACTAAACCAAAAAGACTCATTAAGGCATAGAAGGTCTTAAATGAAAGGCCTATAATATCTGAACACAACGAGCCACCTTTTTCCACAGAAACCAGTATTTGAAATCAAGGCTTATCACAAATTTATCAATTCAAGTTTCCCACAAACTTAAAATAGCAGCCATTCCTGATTTAGATGGTGTAGTTAGTGTGAAACCTCGGATGCAATCGTGGATAACGGGGTTAAGATTTACTACAACAATTATAAGTGCAAGGTCCGATCCTAAGTCACCTTTTTCAGTACCATCGTAACTTTGAACAGTCGCTCAATGAATGGCTGTAGGTTAAGGACTACCTGTATATCAAGGAGGATTAAGTATGGTTCTCAGAATTTACTGCTTTTTTGATCAGCTGCAGCTTTTTTGTTTGGTGCCTTCACTGATATTGCAGTTGTGAAGAACTGCATTTGGGGGAATGATAAATTCTAAGAATTGTTCCTGTTTATGTCACCCCTGTTGTACTGTCAGCCATGAAATAAACATATACTGTATTGGCAGCTATAATAATAAACTACAATAGCAATAGCACTTAGACTTAATAATAATAATAATAATAATAAAGTTGGAAGGGACCTTGGAGGTCATCTAGTCCAACCCCCTGCTCAGGCAGGAAACCCTATACCATTTCGAACAAATGGCTGTCCAGTCTCTTCTTTAAAAACTTCCAGTGTTGGAGCATTCACCGCTTCTGGAGGCAGGTTGTTCCACTGGTTAATTGTTCTAACTGTCAGGAAGTTTCTCCTTAGTTCTAGGTTGCTTCTCTCTTTGGTTAGTTTCCACCCATTGCTTCTTATCCTGCCTTCAGGCACTTTGGAAAATAGCTTGACTCCCTCTTCTTTGGGGCAGCCCCTGAGATATCGGAACACTGCTATCATGTCCCCCCTCGTCCTTCTCTTCATTAGACTAGACATACCCAATTCCAGCAACCGTTCCTTATGTAACACTTGTGCTTTACATCCCTCTCTAAGCGATTTACAGAGTCAGCCTATTGCCCCCAGCAATTTGGGTCCTATTTTACTGACCTCAGAAGGATCGAAGGCTGAGTTAACCTTGAGTTGGTGAGAATTGAACTGCCAAACTGCAGGCAGGCGCCAGGAAGCAGAAGTAGCCTACAGTACTGCATTCTAACCAACGCACCACCACTGCGCTCACAACAGCCTTCAATAGCTGTTATGAATGAAGAAACAGCATCACAAATGTGTCTTTGGCCATGTGACGAACGAGAGAATAAATACGGTTACCGTTACTATTTCTTGGTTAGTTTCACACATTGTACTAAACCATAATGAGGATTGGTTTGGCGTTCATACGTCTTGCAAAGCCAGCCACTGTGGTTTGTAAATTGTGAATGTTGCTTAACTCAGCATTGACTCATTAAAAAAAAAAGTATGTCTAAAGTTTAGTGTGATGCTTAAACCATCGACATTACTTACTTACTAGCATCTCAGAAGAACAGTATAAGCTAAAATGTGATGCATGAGTTGTCATGACTGATGTATCTTCAACAAATGCCATTTTTTAAGGAAAAAAATGGTGAGTGACCCTACATTGGCATTTTCTTACTATCTGTAAGAAGAAGCCAACAAGGGACATTGGAAGTTGGAAAATATCAGTTTCTTCCCTCATCTACCTATTCTGGGGGAAAATGAAGATCAGCAAAACGATTTTCAAAATCTGGACTTTATCCGTTCACTGTTCATGCCTCACCCTCTCAATCAATCATTCTTTTCCAATTTGATGTTCTCCAGATGTGTTCAACTCTCCTCATTCTGGGGAATTAAGCTCCAACACAACTGGAGAAGGCTGGGAAAGACTATCCTTGGGAGACTTTGCACTGACTTGAAACGAAACGAAAAGAAGTCACATTTGTATAAAAGACCAGACTATTATTTTTTTTTAAACTTAATGACAAAGATAGAATGAAGTTTCTCTTCATTCTGTCGCTATACTCACTTCCACAGCATAATGCAGTGCTGAGATGGCTGGATGCAGAGAGAGATTCTCCAAGGGCTTAATCTGAGGAACGTCCCATCCAGATTTTAAGGACCATTCAACAAACAGCATGTTGTCTGTGAAAACTGTCCCAAATACTAAGTCATTTGGGTCCGGCTTCTCCTTCAGCGTGGTAGATGGGTTGATAACAAGATCATCAGCCTGAACAAAACAAGACAAAATTACATTTTTTTAAAAAATTGGCAGCCCTTATTCAGAATGACAGAGTTGGAAGGAACCTTGGAGGTCTTCTTGCCCAACCCCCTGCTCAAGTAGGAGACCCTATGCCAGTGGTGGCGAACCTATGGCACGGGTGCCAGAGGCGGCACTCAGAGCCCTCTCTGTGGACACGTGCGCCATCGCCCCAGTCCTAGGCCTTCAGCTGGATTTTATAAAATCTTTTTGCTTTAGGCCTCCGCCGCCATGTACAAAAAAAAAGGTTCAATCAATCAGTCAATTTCAACTTCTCACGGGGAAAAAAAAGATCTTGCAAAGTTGGAATTGATTGATTGAACTTTTTAGTCCGACCCAGTCTGCTGTTATCACCACAGCCATGCCCACCCAATTGGCCACACCCAGCCAATGGGCCACACCCACCCGGCACCTGACGATGCATAAGTGGGTTTTGGGTTGGAGTTTGGGCACTCAGTCTCTAAAATGTTCGCTATCATTGCCCTATGCCATTTCAGACAAATGGTTGTCCAATATCTTCTTAAAAACCTCCAGTGATGGAGCATTTCTGAAGGCAAATTGTTCCACTGGTTAATTGTTCTCACTGTCAGGAAATTTGTCTTTATTTCTAGATTGATTCTCTCCTTGATTAGTTTCTATCCATTGCTTCCTGACAAAGATGCTTTGGAGAACAGACTGACCCCTCCCCTCTTTTTTGTGGCAGCCCCTCAAATCTTGGAACACTGCAAACATACCACCACCATTCCTTTATTTCATTAGAGTAGACGTATCCAGTGGTGGGATTCAAATATGTGAACAACCCGTTCTCTGTGTAGATGCCGCTTCCGGAAGTCCATTCTGGCCCTGGACAACAAAAAATTAGCTACCGGTTCTGCTGAAGTGGTGCGAACCAGCTGAATCCCACCACTGGACATACCCAATTCTTGTATCTCCATCAATGTACCACCATCAACATTTTGTATGTTGATGTATCTCTGTCAAAAATGAACTCAAGTTGTTTGCTGAGAACAAAATAGAGATGAAAAAGGGGATTTCTAAAAACAACCTCAAAGAAACATGGAAAATTAATCATTCTCGTTCTGTTTCTTAAAACTATCCATAGACTAAAAACTAGATTGAAGATGGCCACTAAATCTGAAAAGCATTTCTGAGGAATTACAAGGGCCAAGTAAACCTGCAACTTTAAAGTTTGAGTTGATCTGAAAGGTAGAAGGGAAAGTGGCTTTCTCAATCAAAAAATGTTGGCACTTCCATTTTTAAATGTCACAAAATGTTAAATGCCTTTTCCCAATTTTAAAGTACCTGAAAGATATCTGCAACTGCTTTATTTCCTTACGAAAATACTTCTGTCCCCATAAATGTCCTCATTATCATTCTATTGAACAACTGAACTAATAGTCCTTGATTTATAACAGTTCATTTAGTGACCATTCAAAATTAGGATGACAGCGGTCACAATTACAACCAATGCAGCATCCCCATGATCACGTGATCAAAATTCAGACACTTGGCAACTGATTCATATTTATGATGGTTGCAGTGTCCTGGGTCCTGCGATCTTCAGACAAGCAAAGTCAATGGAGAAGTCAGATTCACATAACATCCGCGTTACTAACTTAATAATTGCAGTAATTTATTTAAAAACTGTAGCAGGAAAGTTTGTTGTTGTTGTTAGTTGCGAAGTCGTGTCCGACCCATTGCAACCCCATGGACAATGTTCCTCCAGGCCTTCCTGTCCTCTACCATCTTCTGGAGTCCATTTAAGTTCACGCCTACTGCTCCAGTGACTCCATCCAGCCACCTCATTCTTTGTCGTCCCCTTCTTCTATTGCCCTCAGTCTTTCCCAGCATCAGGCTCTTCTCCAGTGAGTCCTTCCTTCTCATTAGGTGGCCCAAGTACTTGAGTTTCAACTTCAGGATCTGGCCTTCTAAAGAGCAGTCGGGGTTGATCTCCTCTAGGACTGAGCGGTTTGATCGCCTTGCAGTCCAGGGGACTCGCAGGAGTCTTCTCCAGCACCATAGTTCAAAGGCCTCAATTCTTTTGCGCTCAGCCTTTCTTATGATCCAACTTTCACAGCCATACATTGCAACTGGGAAAACCATAGCCTTGACTATACGTACTTTTGTTGGCAGGGTGATGTCTCTGCTTTTTAGTACACTGTCTAGATTTGCCATAATTTCCTTCCCAGGAGTAAGCGTCTTTTAATTTCTTGACTGCAGTCCCCATCTGTGGTGATCTTGGAGCACAGGAAGATAAAATCTGTCACTACCTCCATTTCTTCCCCATCTATTTGCCAGGAATTGAGAGGGCCGGATGCCATGATCTTGGTTTTCTTAATGTTGAGTTTCAAGCCAACATTTGCACTCTCCTTCTTCACCCGCATCAAGAGGCTCTTTAGTTCCTCTTCACTTTCTGCCTTTAGAGTGGTATCATTTGTAAAGTTTGTAAAATGGGGCAAAATTCATTTAACAAACATCTGGCTTAGCAACAGAAATTGTGATCGTAAGTCAAGGAATACCTGTATTCTCATTCAGTTTGATGAAGAAAAAGTTATTTAAATCTATCTGCTTAGTTTTTCTGTCGGGGTTGAGAGTTTCAGAAGACGGTTGATGCCCACTCTGCTAAGATCTGGAATGGTCTCTCAAGTGAACTGTACTTTTACCAGATCACACCCTATTTTCACGAGAAAGATTTCAGTTCCCACAGCTCTCTTTCCCAACTCTTGACTCTACTTGGCTGCTGTCTATCTCCTGCAGAAAAATATCTGCAGAGCTAGGCTAAAATTTATTGGAAAAGAATGCAGCGTCTTTGCATTTTGACCCACGGTCCCAAATTCTATTTTTATAGAAGTGCCACTTTCTAGAACTGACTCTCAAAGACTGGATTTCACAGGCGTGCGCTAAATTTGCTAATTGCTTTTTTATAGAGGCATTTTGTGCACGCATGAAATATTCCGTAATCTGTGGTAATGTAATGAAACAGAAGGGCTTAGTGTGAAAGGAACATCTGCATGCACAAATATACACACATACCTGTTCGCGCACAAACACACACACACATGTAAATTGGGGAACATTCATTATTGTCTTCACTTCTATTCCATATTTCAAATTTTAGATCCACCTATCTGTGCTGACCTCCCAAGACAACTAAACCTCAAACAACGGTAGTGAAGCCATATCAAACCACAAATAAACCTTGACTTACGACGGGTCGCTTAGTGCCCATTCGATGTTATGACAGACCTCCCCAGGGCTACGAACTTTCAGTGGCCGTGCCTCCCACCGAGTCACTTGTTTACATTTGGGGTGCTCGGGAATCAGCCTGAATTTGCAGCTATTTGCAAGTGTCCTGTGGTCATGTGACCACAATTTACAATGTTGTGTTTTTTGGAGGGCCAGAAATATATTTCCTTCTGGTTTCCAGCAAAAACAACCAAAAAACCCTCCACTCATTGCAGACAATGGATTTACTTCATGAGCACCACACTCGTTTAATGACCCCAGTGTTTCGCTTAACAGACTCTGCACAAAAGGTCATAAAATTGGGTGTGGTCATGTGGTGACCCACTTAATGACCAGCATGATTTGCAACCATAATTCTGAGCTCAATTATGGTCATAAGTCAAGGGCTACCTATATCAGCGCATAAAGAGCAAAAGCAGATTTAAAAAAATTGTAAGGTTAAGACTTTTAAAGAGGCCTCGATACAACAAAAATTGCACTGTCAGTTCTCGTCTGGACAAACGTTTGTCTCCTGAAATAGAAGGATCTCCACCTAAAAAAAAAAAAAGAAATCTAAAAGGGCAGATATAAATAATAAATAATAATAAAGTTGGAAGGGATCTTGGAGGTCATCAAGTCCAACCCCCTGCTCAGGTAGGAAACCCTATACCATTTCGGACAAATGGCTGTCCAGTCTCTTCTTAAAAACTTCCAGTGTTGGAGCATTCATCGCTTCTGGAGGCAGGTTGTTCCACTGGTTAATTGTTCTAACTGTCAGGAAGTTTCTCCTTAGTTCTAGGTTGCTTCTCTCCTTGATTTGTTTCCATCCGTTGCTTCTTGTCCTGCCTTCAGGCGCTTTGGAGAATAGCTTGACTCCCTCTTCTTTGTGGCAGCCATTCAAATATTGGAACACTGCTATCATGTCCCCCCTCGTCCTTCTCTTCGTTAAACTAGACATACCCAATTCCAGCAACCGTTCCTATGTTTTAGCCTCCAGTCCCCTGATCATCTTTGTTGCTTTTCTCTGCACTCTTTCTAGAATCTCAACATCTTTTTTACATTGTGGTGACCAAAACTGGATGCAATATATAAAGCTTAGAAGTTTTTTTTCTCATGCTTTTGATAGATGTTTCAGTTTATCAGCTGCAGCTGCAGAAGTATGTCTGTTGAAGTTCCAGAAATGTCAGGGATTAAGAGGCAGACTTGCAAAGAATAAAACTGAACATAGAAGAGCCAACATTAATGCTAAGTCAATGTTCAGAAAAGAAGGACGTTCTTTTTAAGAAAAATGAAACAGTCATCAGGATGCTATGCTGAAAGCTGAAAGGCAATCCAAGGTTAACGTTTCCTACGTCAGTCAAGATTTCCTCAGGGAAGACTCTGCTGTACATTTTAAATCCCTCAGTTTCCAGTTCCAGCAGCAACCGTACAGCAAATATTCTGCTCTCTTTTTGCTGATTTCAAGAGAACCCTAAGCTCAGTCAAACCTGGTTAGTACAGATTGAAGATGATCAGGAAAGCAAGGGAGGATCTGGACAGACGTGAACACTGGGCGCTATCTAACAAAATAAAATTCAATGATGAAAAAAGTAAAGTTCTACATTTAGGCAACAAAAACCAAATGCACAGGTTTAGTATAGGGGGTACCTTGCTCAATAGTAGTAACTGTGAGAGGGATCTCGGAGTCCTAATGGACAATCACTTAAATAGGAGCCAGAAGTGTGCTGCACCTGCCAAAAAGGCCAACACAGTTCTGGGCTGCATTAACAGAGGGATAGAATCAAGATCACGTGAAGTGTTAATACCACTTTACAATGCCTTGGTAAGGCTACACTTGGAATACTGCATCCAGTTTTGGTCACCACGATGTAAAAAAGATGCTGAGACTCTAGAAAGAGTACAGAGAAGAGCAACAAAGATAATTAGGGGACTGGAGGCTAAAACATATGAGGAACGGTTGCTGGAATTGGGTATGTCTAGTATAAGGAAGAGAAGGACGAGGGGGGACATGATAGCAGTCTTCCAATATCTCAGGGGCTGCCACAAAGAAGACGGAGTCAAGCTATTTTCCAAGGCGCCTGAAGGCAGGACAAGAAGCAACGGATGGAAACTAATCAAAGAGAGAAGCAACCTAGAACTAGGGAGAAACTTCCTGACAGAACAATTAACCAGTGGAACAACCTGCCTCCAGAAGCGGTGAATGCTCCAACACTGGAAGTTTTTAAGAAGAGACTGGACAGCCATCTGTCCGAAATGGTATAGGGTTTCCTGCCTAAGCAGGGGGTTGGACTAGAGGACCTCCAAGGTCCCTTCCAACTTTATTATTATTATTATTATTATTATTATTATTATTATTATTATTATTATTATTATTATTATTATTATTAAAATTATTAATTAAACGTATTTGTACACCACTGTAACATGTTAGGAGTCTTGATGGTTAACAAGGAACGCACAATTACACAGTAAGTACAATGTCCAGGATATGCATATAATAAGCCGATTTAAGTAAAATAGGATAATAACCAGAACCATTATTACGAAAATAATTGTGTGGATGTGTCTTGTGTAGCTTTGTTTGAACAGAGTGTTGTTTTTGTTTAGTTTTACATGATGAAAACATGATGACTATGCATAAATTAGTGAGCATGCAGAAAGTCAGACCAGAAGGACCTGAGTTCCAGTCCATTCTCAGCTATCGAAACTTCACAGCTGGGTCATGACGGAGAGGTCTGTCATGACTTTGAACGATTGCTAAGTAACTGGTTGTAAGTCGAGGATCAGCTATAGGGAGGACACAGACTTGAGTAGGCTAGATTATGCAACGCGGGCTACATGCAGGTCGTCCTCAACGTACGACCACAATCGATCCTAAAATTTCTGTCACTAAGCAAGACAGGAGTCAAGTGGGTTTTGCCCTATTTTATGTCCTTTCTTTGCCACGGTTGTTAAGTGAATCCAGCTTCCCTACTCACTTTGCTTATCAGAAGGTCACAAAAGGTGCATCACACGACCTCAGGACACTGCAACCGCCATAAATATGAACCAATTGCCAAACATCTGAATTTTGATCGTGTGACCACAGGAATGGTCCTAAGTTTGAAAAACAGTCATGAAATCATATTTTTCAGTGTTATTGTAACTTTGGTCATTAAGCAAATGGTTGAAATGGTATAGGGCAGGGGTAGGCAACCTTGGCTCTTTTATGACTGGTGGACTTCAACTCCCAGAATTCCTGAGCCAGCCTGGCTCAGCATGGAAACCTCTCCCTTTCCCCTCAGCATGGCTGGCTCAGGAATTCTGGGAGTTGAAGTCCACGAGTCATAAAAGGGTCAAGGTTGCCTACCCCTGGTATAAGGTTTCGTGCCTGAGCAAGGGGTTGGACTAGAAGACCTCCAAGGTCCCTTCCAACTCTGTTATTCTGTATCCAAATTACAGATAATGTACTTTACATTACGTCCTTAGGTCCCTAACACGCATCCATCCAATATGTGTTGCATTTTCCTAGGAGCATATTACCTTCATTCAACATGCATGTAATATTCTTTGCCACAAGATGTCTACTTTTCTTTTCTTTTTTTTTAAATGTGTGCAATTTCGGCTTGATTTATATAGCTCTGGCTTTTACTTTCCTTAAGGTAGAATTTTGACTTTTCTTTCTTTTAAAACGTGTAGGAGACACTCTGTACTGAATAAGGGCAGGGAAATTAAGTGTTAATATTACTTTTACATCTCATGCAAAAATATGAAGGACAGGATAAGAAACCACTGATTCATTTCCTTGTTAGAAGTCCTAATTGAGGAAATGTGAAAGCTGAGTTGTCCATTTTTCAAACTAGTCCCACACAGTTTGGGGCCCAGCCAAATGGAAGAGGAAAGTGTTTTGTAAAGTTATGATCATTCCGTTCAATTGTGTGGTTGCGAGACACACTATCCCTCACGGAACTTCAACAAGATGGCCCGGGTTCATTATATGGAAACAAATGTTCTGAAGATCATGAGAAGGCAGATGACAAGAATGTATAAAATGGTGCCTTCTTTTTGGTAATGCGCATTCAGAAATGTGAACTGGGTTCATACAGCTTACCACGATATGTTTCAATCACAACAGATTGTTTTTGTTTCAATCCAGCTGTTTTCTTGGAATGTTGTGGGAACCAGGGCTTCATATGATGCCATTACAGAGTTTGTTTGAGTGTATCAAGTTTTGTGAATATGGCAATCATATGCTGTTAACTGAGTATCAGAAATCAGAAATCCCCTTTCCTCCAAAAAAGGAGGAGGAGGAGAAAAGAAGAAGAAGAAGAAGAAGAAGAAGAAGAAGAAGAAGAAGAAGAAGAAGAAGAAGAAGAAGAAGAAGAAGAAGAAGAAGAAGAAGAAGAAGAAGAAGAAGAAGAAGAAGAAGAAGAAGAAGAAGACGACAACATTTTAGAATATTTGCATATTTGGCAATATACTGATGGAAACCAACCAAGTCTCATGAACAGCATTACAGCAAAGCGTATCAGGCCCTTCAAAGCTCACCACAAACTTGCTAAAATTCCTGTTTATGGTTTACCTCAGTTTGACTGTTTTTCAAGAACAGGGCTACATCTTGGCAAACTCTGGGCCTTTTTTTAAAGAGTCCATAATGGAGTTTACAAGCTAAGCGAGACATTTGTTGTGAATTTTGCCTCATTTTATGATCTTTCTTGCCACCGTTGTTATGCAGCTGGCTTCCCCATTAACTTTGCTTGTCAGAAGGCCGCAAAAGGTGATCACATGACCCTGGGACACTGCCACTATCATAGATACAGTCCAGTTGCCAAGCATCTGAATGTTGATCATGTGACCCTGGGGATGCTGCCACGGTCGTAAGTGTGAAAAACAGCCACGAGTCACTTTTTTCAGTTCCATTGTCACTTTGAACAGTCACTAAACGAACTTTATAAGTCGAGGACTACCTGTAATCCAAAAATCACAAAGGGGACTGCACATTCAAAAGGGGGGGGGGAGAGAGATTGCTCCCATTGTCCCTGAATGCTCTCAGCACAAGCATCCTTCACAATGTGCTTCGTGAGACACAAGAGAACATTGCAATGAGCAAGGACATACATTCAATTTCACAGCTACTGAGATTGTTAGCTGAGCAGGTACAAAGATAGCCAGGGGAAATGATTGAAGCTTGGGAAAAGGGCCCCTTGTCAGATAACAGGAGTACTGATTTACTACCAGCTTATCAGGTATTTGAGGATGTAGCAGAATAAGGAAAGAACAGATGACGACTTAATAGCCGGCCATCAACACCTCAATCAACAAATAATAATAATTTTAAAAAACCACATACAACCAGACACCACATACTGTAAATGCTATGCATAGACTAGCCCACAGCACACATTCTGGTAGAGCAGGGGTGTCAAACTCAATTTCATTGAGGGCCACATCAGCATTGCGGTTGCCCTTGGGGGGCCAGGTGGGTGTGGCCTACTGGGTGGGTGTGGGTGGAGTGGGTGTGGCCTACTGGGTGGGCGTGGCCAGCTCTACATCGTTCCCGTCAAGGGTGCCTGTGGGGGCCTGGGCAGGAGTGGGACAGATCTGAGGGTCTCTGGCAGAAGGGGGTGGGACCAGGGCAAGCGCCAAGGCATGGTCCATTTCTTCATTCCTCACAAAGGGTGACACCTCCCCAGCATGCACCCAGGGGGCGGGGCCGACGCGGCGGGGGCTGGTTCCTTGCTGTTTCTAGACGGCCTTGTGGAGCTAAGACTGAATGCGTCTCAGCATAGATGGCCACCACAAAATTGTACATTGGCTCCCGGCCGACCTGGGCCAGGGCCAAGGCAGTGGTGGCCGTTCCCTCACTGTTTCCAGGATGGCTTTGTGGGCCACATGAAACCACTTCGCGGGCCGCATCCGGCCCCCAGGCCTTGTGTTTGACATGTCTGTGGTAGAGGATGGGCTACAGCATGAATCCGAAAGCTTGGAAGGCTAAATCTCTGGTCCTGGAGACCGATCTAGATTGGATCCGGCAACACCAGGGAATGCTTAACCTCAATGCACCCTCCAGGTTGGCAGCACTCTTGCTTATCCATAATTCTCGTTACCCTTCAAGGAGAGTTTCCCACACTGAGTTGAACACCCCTGCAGGCATTTCTGTTTTGGCAAACGAACCCACCTTGAAAGAGTCGGTCATGGGTTTTGCAGCTGCCTCTGTGCATCCATCCGCATAGTCATTTTGGCAACCCTGTAATGGACAAAGGACAACGCTTAAAAATCAATACGATTTAATCAAAGTTCCCAAGTCATATTTAATGTGCTCTTCCAGCAGTTTGCACCTGTTCAGGGAACGTTCGGAGCACTTGGGGAGAAATGGGGTGATGGATTAGAAGAAAGCTTGAAAAGAGTAATCTGAGATCTAGAGCTTATAATCTTACAAGAAAATCTGGTACAATCAGCATTTGGGACTCCTGAGAGGATAAACCCTGCTTTGCCCGGTCTTGGGATTCTCAATACTGAAGAACAAAGGGACAATTGTTTCTGAATTAAAAGTTCAACCATTAGTCAGGAACTGCTTGCAATATCCACTGCAAGGACCATATCCACATTTTAAAAAGTCTTCTGGAAAACTAGATCAGCTCCAAAGAAGAAAAATGAGGGCGATTTGGGGATGGGAAACAGATCCTACAAGGTGAGACAGGGGAAAAAATGGCATACTGAGAAAAGATAACTGAGAGGAGACACAGGTGGTCCTCAACTTATGATGACAATTGAGCACAATATTTCCACTGCTAAGCAAGATGCTTGTTCAGTGAGTTTTGTTCCGTTTTACGATGTTTCTTGCCACAATTCTTAAGCGATTCACTACAGTTGTTAATTTAGTAACATGGTTGTTAAGTGAATCTGGCTTCCCCATTGACTTTGCTTGTCAGAAGGTCGCAAAACGTGATCACGTTATCCTGGGACACGGCAACCGTCATAAATATGAGTCAGTTGCCAAGCAAGTGAATTTTGATCACATGGTCATTCGGATGTTGGAACAGTCATGTGTGTGAAAAGTGGTCATAAGTTGCTTTCTTCAGGGCTGTTGCAACTTCGAAAGGTCATTAAATGAAACGTTGTTAGTTGAGGACTACTTGACCCATAAAACCTCCATCTAGGTTTCCAACAAGTTAAACTTAGTTGAGTTTCTGTCTTTGTGCAAGGCTAAAAAGACAACACAAAAAGAAATAACAAGCTTGGAACAATTCAAACTTAGCACATTGCAGAGATCACTAGACCTTTATTAAACTGGTGTAAACTGTTTTGTCGTATGAACCTTGCCTGCAAGTTCCTGAAGAACTATAGAGAAGAAAGTCAAAATTGATCTCTTGAGCCAGAGGGCCCAGGATGCTAAGTTCTATCTAGCACGATCAATCTCAACTAAATGTTAATAAACAGAACGGTCCTGTGCAGACAACATTACAGACAGAAGTATCCAAAATAGTGTGACCAAAAATGATAATTATCACACCATTATGGCTACCATCTTGTTTTTTTAAAATTATAAACCTACAGATATCTGATTATAGCATCACTTTTCAGTCAGCGTTGTTAATACTGAGGCAGGTGGAAACTGGGCTGTCCCATACTGTATATTGAGTACTGCAGTAGTATGGTTTATGAGGGCAAAACTCTTGAAAGCTATGATTTAAGTCCTAAAATAGGCATGCCACTTTTATTTTTTTTAAAAGCCCAAATAATTCACTTCTAGCTTCTCTCCCCAAACTTCAGCAAATAGTGTGAAATTTTTGGTTTGCTACATGCATGATAAGGCTCCAATCGTTCTGCAGCATTACTTTCTCTATTTCTGTCCTCATCTTCCAAAAACTTAAGGCAGGGGTTTTCAAACTCACAATGTCACATGCTGTGTCGTGATGTATCGCAACTTTTTTTCCATTGCCGGCAATGGGGTGGGCGCGGTTTCGCCATGACACATCCGGTCCACGGGCTGGCAGTTTGACACCCCTGCCTTAAGGCTATCTACCCTACCATCACCCTGTAAAATTTGTGCTTGTCTTCCAATCAAGTATTAATGCCTCATTAATGTTATTTAATCACGTTCTGTTAAAACAAGCCAAGTTCGTCAGGCTAGCTTCTTTCAGGCTTGTTTCAACTCCTCCCCCAAACTCTGAAAAATTGACCCTGCCCACCCAGCATTGCAGTATTAGGTAGCCCTCGACTTACAACAGTTCATTTAGCAACTTTTGGAGTTACAATGGCACTGAAAAAAGTGACTTATGACTGTATTACAGATTTATGACTGTTGTAGCATCCCCATGGTCATGTGATCAGAATTTGGGCGCTTGGCAATTGGTTCATATGTATGACAGTTCCAGTGTCCTGGGGTCATGTGATCACTTTTTGTGACCTTCTGACAAGCAAAAATCAATAAGAAACACAGATTCACTTAGCAACCATGTTACTAACTTAACAACTACAGTGATTCACTTAACAACTGTGGTAAGAAAGGTCACAAACTGAGGCAAAAATTGCTTAACAAACGTCTCAGCCACAGAAATGTTGGACTTAACTGCGGTTGTAAGTCGAGGATTAACTGTACAATCTTGGCAGTCCAAGAATTGCTTTACTCACAATATACAGGAGTTCCTTTTATTGGGCTTCGTGTGTTAAATAAATGTGGCCTTTATTGCTTATTCAGTAGACTATGGTTAAAACAGACAGTGGCTTAGCACAACGTGTCAGCCTCAGTACAAAATCTCCTTGATCACTGTAGCAGTATCTCAGCTTCTAAAGGGAAGCTATGAGAGATTAAAAAGAACAATCACACCATCTGGCTTGCAGGGTTGCATTTATGTCTTCTAATAATAATAACAATTACAATAATAATCCACCACAGATTCTCAAGCAGATATCTTTGCCGAATAGATGAGTCACGCAAGGCTATTTTTAACTCTGGCTGAACAAGCTTGTAACTCTTTGTGACCTTCTGGAAGGGGATCTGAAGAGACTAAGAAAGACCCAGATATTTTCCTTGAGCCCTGGCGTGAAGTCTGTGGAGGAGGAAAAAAAAAATGGTGCAGCAGACAAAATAATAACACAAAGGAGACTCCAAGGCAGCGTGCCACAATAAACACAACTGCACTGAATGGATTAAAAGCTCCTGCCAACTGAGAGAGGACAATCAAAAGTGGAGACCTTGGTGAGGTCTGAACTTGGTTGTTTGCTTGCGGACATTTCATGACCAGACTAGGTAATGTCATCAGTGCTAGTGAGTGTAGGGTTTACTCCCTATTTATATACAGTACTTTGCCCTGCCAGTGCTGGTGGGCAGGTGATTTTCTCCTTGGTAGATCCCTGATTAGGGTATTATATAAATACAAAACCCCACTCCTACTAACACTGTCAGGGCAAGTTGCTATATATAAACAGGGAGAAAACCCCACTTCGGCAGCACTAATAATGTTATCTAGTGGGATAAGGAAACATCTGCTAGCAAACAACCAAGCTCAGAGAGCATCAAAGACTCCACGAGTCAACCCTGAGCTACTGTGGTGGAATGTAGTCTGGAATCCCAGGAAGGAGAGCCTGCCTCTAGAGGGCAAAGAGGTAGCAGAGCTTGGAATGTGTGGTAGACAGGAAAATGGCTGAAATGGCACCTCCTTAGCAGTTCACAGAGTATATCTTTACAATGCCTTGGTAAGGCCACACTTGGAATACTGCATCCAGTTTTGGTCACCACAATGTAAAAAAGATGTTGAGACTCTAGAAAGAGTACAGACAAGAGCAACAAAGATGATCAGGGGACTGGAGGCTAAAACATATAAGGAACGGTTGCTGGAATTGGGGATGTCTAGTTTAACGAAGAGAAGGACGAGGGGGGACATGATAGCAGTGTTCCAGTATCTCAGGGGCTGCCACAAAGAAGAGGGAGTCAAGCTATTCTCCAAAGCGCCTGAGGGCAGGACAAGAAGCAACGGATGGAAACTAATCAAGGAGAGAAGCAACCTAGAACTAAGGAGAAACTTCCTGACAGTTAGAACAATTAATCAGTGGAACAACCTGCCTCCAGAAGCGGTAAATGCTCCAACACTGGAAGTTTTTAAGAAGAGACTGGACAGCCATTTGTCCGAAATGGTATAGGCCGGTTTCCTGCCTGAGCAGGGGGTTGGACTAGATGACCTCCAAGGTCCCTTCCAACTTTACTATTATTATTATTATTATTATTATTATTATTATTATTATTATTATTATTATTACTATTAGCTATGCAGATAGTTGCTTTTAGTCTGGCAAGAATCTGTCTGTAGGTAAACAATAAAGTAATTCTTTGGAAGTAACTCTACGTGTCATTCCCAGTTCTTAGACTCGACAGCAACAGATATTCTGTTTTATTGAAGGGTCTAAAGTATTTCCTGAGATGTTACGTTTAGGTGGAAGGTAGGGAATGTCCAGTCCATAGTAGTTACAGGGGACAAAGAAGAATCTCAGAGCTGGAAGGAGGTAGGAGTTCCTGTTCATAAAAAAAAAAAAAACTCTCACTCTGCAAACTGTAGAGCAAAATCTGCCCTCAAATGCTACTGCCATGGAGCTGAAAGGAAGTCCAGAGTTGCTCAGCTCAGCTCAGCTGTCAAAGCCTCATCACGTTATAAGGACACAAAGGCCTCCTGCAAATCAGCAGAATCCCCAAGGATAGGAAAAGCCTTTATTTTGCCTGAATCTTTTGTGATGGATGGGAGGGAGGGAGGGGGAGGGAGAGAGAAAGAGAAAGAGAAAGAGGG